GCACCCCCCATATTTCCCCACGAAACACCAGCGCTGTTATTTCCTTGCACGTTCCCCATCCCGACCCCCACCTGTCTCGCGGGTTGACCCCCGGTCACCCCCAGACCTCCCGGCCCACCCATCTGGTTCATGGGCGGCGTCCGGTTGGCGCCCACGCCCGGGGTGGTAAGGAGAGAGTCAAACGAGGACATGTCAATCTGCGACTTTCCCTGCCCAGACGACAGAGAGGAGGAGGAGGAGGGCATTGAGGACATGGGCGGGGCAAACGGGGAGGAATGAGAGGAGGAGGGGGAGGGGGAGGAACCCCAGTTCACCGAAGACGAGGAGTTCATCAGAGGAATAGCGCCCCCTCCCCCTCCCACACCCCCTCCCCCTTGCCAGTTGACGGGACCCCCTCCGCCCGTCCTCCCCCCAGCCATCCCTCCGCTAAATCCGGACGAGACCATCATGCCTAGGGGTGTGGTGGAGGGGGAACAGGAAGTGGCCCCCGGTGCGGGGCTCGACTTAGACGCAACGCTCAGGTTTCTCATGTTGGATTCCATCAGGGTTGAGGTGAGATCACGCGGTCCGTTGCGAGCGGAGGAGGAGGAGGAGGAAGAGGAGGAGGATTTGGAGGAGGAGAAGGAGGAGGAGGAGAGGCTGCCGTTGACGGGGGCGGCCGGGGAGGTGGTGGAGGAGTTGAGAGGCTGCAGGGGGCGCTGGGACTTGAGGGTTCGCTCCTGCTCCTGTTGTTTGGCCAGTCGCTGCTTCTCCTCCAAGGTCAGGCCCGTCTGTGGGAGGGAAGAGAGGGGAGGGTGAGAGGAGGAGGAGAGGAGGGGAAGGTGAGAGGAGGAGAGGAGGGATAAGGGGTGGGAAGAGAAGGAGAGGAGTGGGATGAAGGAAAGGGTTGAGGGAGTTGGGAGGAGGAGAGGAGAGAGTGACAGAAGGAAAAGAGGGAGAAGTTGTGGGTGGTTGGGAGGCTGAGAGATTGAGAGACGGAGAGGCAGAGAGACAGAGAGAGGAGAGATGGAGAGATGGAAAGACTGAAAGACAAAGAGACGGCTAAATGGAGAGAGCTGGAAAAATGGAAAGATGGAGAGAAAGACATGAAGAGACTGAGAGGTGGAGAGATAGAGAAAGGGAGAGACGGAGAGACTATGAGATGGAGAGAGTGAAAGAATGAAAGACAGAGAGAAGGAGATAAGGAGAGATGGGAAGATGGAGAGGCAGAGAGACAGATAGAGATGGCGAGAGTGAGAGACTAAGAGATAGAGAGATGGAGAGATTGAGAACAGAGAGACTAAGAGATGGAGAGAGACAGACGGAGAGATGGAGAGACAGAGAGATTGAGAGAACCGGAGAGCTGGAGAGGAGGAGAGGCAGAGAGACAGAGAGATGGAGAGAGTGAAAGACAGAGAGACAGAGGAACAGAGACACTAAGAGATGGAGAGAAGAAAAGAGTGAAAGACAGAGAGACTTAAAGAAGGAGAGACAGAGTGATGGAGAGATGGAGAGAGACAGAGAGGGAGAGACAGAGAGATGGAGAGGGAAAGACAGAGAGATGGAGAGGGAAAGAAGAAGAGATGGAAAGACAGAGAGACAGAGATGGAGAAGGAGAGACAGAGAGATTGAGAGAGACAGAGAGATGGAAGAGCAGGTACCTTTTTGGGCGTGAGGGAACTCTCCTTTGTGACGGTAGCATTTGCCGTGGTGTGGGCGGGGCGGGGGGTGGAGTCAGGGGAGCTAGCCCCTCCCACAGGACTTGTCGCCGACGTTTGATTGACAGATCCACCCAGGCCGACGCCCGTCAGAAACTTGTCCATCTGTGGAAACACACACACGTATACATACATACACACACATGGTGAACCGGATGATGGAGAGAAGGACGAAAGAAATACACACACATGATAAACCGGATGATGGAGAGAAGGACTAGGATGATGGGCGGGGAGGAGGAGAAAAGGAAGAGACAGACAGACAGACAGACAGACAGACAGACAGACAGACAGACAGATAAGATGGCTGACATGTCGCGGTAGAAAGAGATATATATCTATAATTTACTTAAATATTATTATTAGAGGAAAATGATTCGACTAAAGCTTTATACAAAAAATATATGACATCGTTTTTCAGATAGTTGTCTTGAAAATATGCAAAATGCCGATCCTGTCTATGCTCGGGATGAGGACTCAGACACTCAATCAAAACAGAACAACCAATCAGAAACGTACAAAGCTCGATTTTCCATCCGTCTGCTGCTTCGCGCTGCCATTTTCTCCGGTAATTTTGGAAATTTCCAAAGTCCTGTGGAGACAAACCATACCACGCATAAGTTAGCTTTCGTTTTAGTAAGTGTTTTACAGCACTTGCAACACAATAAGGTCATATGTGCGCCAGAAGATTAGAGGTGTTACAAGAGAGTAACAAACATAAAAAAGAAGGGGAGATAAGGACAATAAATGTTTGATAGAAAAGAAGGAGCTAACCACACCAGATCACCCGCCAACCACCCACGCATCCTGTTTAGTTTCAGTAAGTTTTACAGCACTTGCAAGACAATAAAATCATAAAAATGTCGAAGATTAGAGGTGTTACAAGAGAGTAACAAACAGAAAATAAAAGGAGGGGAGAAAAGGACGATAGATATTTGATAGGAAAGAAGGAGCAAACCACACCAGAGCACCTGCCAACCACCCGCGAGTAGGAAGGATTGAGAGAGAGAGAGAGAATGAATAAAGGAGAGAGAGAGAGTGTGAGGGAGAAATAGGAAAGGTAGGAGGGAGAGAACGAGAGAGAGAGAGAGATAGACAGACAGACAGAGAGAAGAAAGGACTGAGAGAGAGAAAAAAATGAAAGAAAGAGAGACAGAGAGAGAGTGAGAGAGAAAGAAAGAGAGAATGAGAGAGACAGAGAGATATACAGCCATCCAGCCTGCCAGACAGACAGACAGACAAACAAACAAACAGACAGCCTGCCAGACAGCCTGCCAGACAGACAGACAGACAGACAAAGAAACAGACTTGTGGTCTTGCTGCATCTGATCCAACTGCTCCAACTTCCCGCGATGTTCCGCGTCCACTTTGCTCAACATCTCCTTGATCACAGACATGTAGGCGTTGAACTGAGGACACACAGACAGACATGTGTGTGTATATGTGTGGGTATATATATGTGTTGATGTGTGCGTATATGTGTGTATGTGTGAGCATGTGTGTGTACGTGTATCTGTGTGTGTATATGTGTGTGTATGTGTGTGTGTGTATGTGTGTGTATATGTGTGTGTATATGTAAGTGTGTATGTGTGCGTGTGTGTGTCTGTGTGTGTATATGTGTGTAAATGTGCATGTATATGTGTGTGTATATATGTGTGTGTGTGTGTGTATGCGTAAGTGTATATGTATGTGCGTATATATATGTGTGTGTATGTGTGTGTATATGTGT